AATACACCCCAAAATCATACATCCCAAATGTACACTGCCAAATACACTCCACAGTTAGCTATCCTAAATGTACACTGCCAAATACATCCCAAAATTATATATCCCAAATGTACACTGCCAAATACACCCCACAGTTAGATATCCTATATGTACACTGCCAAACTCACCCCAAAATTATATATCCGAAATGTACACTGCCAAACTCACCCCAAAATTATATATCCCAAATGTAAACTGCCAAATACACCCCACAGTTACACAACCTAAATGTACACTGTCAAATACACCCCAGTTACACATCCCAAATGTACACTGCCAAATACACCCCAGTTACACATCCCAAATGTACACTGCCATATACACACCATATACACCCCACAGTTACACAGCCTAAATGTACACTGCAACATACACCCCACAGTTAGACACCCTAAATGTACACTGCAAATATACTCCACAGTTACACATCCCAAATGTACACTGCCAAATACACCCCATGGTAACACATCCTAAATGTACACTGCCAAATACACCCCACGGTAACACATCCTAAATGTACACTGCCAAATACACCCCACGGTTACACAGCCTCACTGGATACAGCCAAATACATCCCTACGCAGTTACACAGCCTCACTGGATACCACCAAATACACCCCCCAGTCACACAGCCCCATGGAACACAGTGCTGACCCTCCACACATGCTGCCTCGCTCTGCTTAGGCCATCTATTTACTCAGCCTCTTGTACTCGCCACCACGGACATTTTAAGAGAGAACCTCCTTCCCCAAGCAGTTTTGGAACCTCAGCACCACCTGCCACCATTTAAACTCTGGGGCACAAATTCATCCGGGAGCTGTGTTGTCCTGGGTCCCTGCAGAGACCACAGAAGCTTTTGTTCCCAAAAAACCAAGGGTTTAGCAGGACAGTTCCTCCATCTGATACTTGAGGAGGAAACCAGCTCCTCATTCCTCAGGCTGTCGCTCTGGGATGAGAGTTATTCCCAGACATCCCTGCTGCAACTTAAAGACTAACATACTGGAATGGGTTGGAAGGAGTGAAAAAAACAAAAAGAGGGTTTGAGTCGTTTCAAGTCATGCAGGCAACTGGCAGCAAAAGACAGAAATCACAAACAGTGCCTTTTTTTTGTTTGTTTTCTCTTTTCAGTTTTATGTTTTATTGTTTTGGGCTGGGTGGATCCTGCATGAGGAAAGATTCAAAGGGAAGAGGCTTGTCTGTGAAGTCTTTGGAGGGATGTTAGCATGGAGGAGACAGGCTGTTCCTCATGTGTCAAGTAAAGAGATCCCACAACAAGGGACAGATCCTGCACAGCCCTCCCCAGAGAAGCAACAAAACCCAGAACAACAGGACGCAAGGGTGGCTTTAAAATTAATTTTTTTTTTTAAACAGCTTTAAGCCAGATGTAAATTAAAACCATCATCACTAAGCCAGACCTGAGTGCTCTAAGCAGAAAGGAGACCCATTCTGTGACCAGTGGTTGGTGGCTCCTCTCCACTTTCCCCTTCACCACAGCCTCCCCTGAACCTCTCCTCATCTTTGAAACCATCACCAAGTCTTTGACAGAGATCTCCCTGAGGGATGAATGGGATAGGAGGACACAAAATGGTGCTCAAAAGCCCTTTTGGCCAGCTGATAGCAAATACTGAGGTGAGGGAAGCACCTTGTTGGTGTGTAATTCCCAGCAATCACAGGACTGCACACACTGAGATCACAGGCTAACCTTGGTAGGAGCCACAGCTTCGTTAGCACCCACAGTTCCAGCACTGTCCCTGAACCAGCTCCAGCCCGAGGACTGGCACTGCCTCACCCAGAGCAAAGCCTCCCACCACCAAGGCAAATTCTCTGCACATGAACAAATTCCAGCCGGCTTCGCTCAGTCCTCCCTGAGCAGGTGCCAAAATCTGCTATGCTCCGCTGGCTGACACAGCCTCCGAAATGAGCATCTGCCGCTGTGCAAACACCCCCAGCAGCATTCTGGTGGGAAACCTATGCTTCAAATAAGCCAAACAGGGCACAGATGGCCTTACCAATCGAAGCACGTGGGCTCGGGGGCATTAGGGTCCACAGTGACAAAATAAAACTTGACTATGGAGGAGAACGGGCATGAGAGTATCTGATGAACCATTACTCATCTTTCTGGGGTGCAGGGGAAAGAGGTTTGGAAGAATCACTTTGAGAACACCTATTACCCAGAAAACTACACCACTTTTCCCCTCTGAGCTGGGACTACCATCACTGTATGAGGGGCTTTAACCACAGAAAACATGAGGTAACACAATTACCTTATACCTCTTCTTAGTGGAATTCCTCAGAACTACCTGGAGCCCAAGGAGGAGGGTGGCTCAGCCAGGCTTGGAGGCTCCAAAACACACAGCACCTCATCCAGAGAGGAAGATGGTTTTATAAAACCCCAGCTATCAACCAAACACCACAAACAGCTCCAGCGTAGAGGGGCTACTTTGCCCTCTGCATGAGACCCTATTCTCACCCCACAAGCAGCAGTCCTTCATTCTGAAAACTCACTTCCCTTTTCCAGGTAACCAAGGTGGACAAACAAGCTGGAATTGATGAAATCTGTAGCCAGTGGCACCAGGTGTGTTACATAAACATCTACATCTACAGCCACAATTCCCCCTCCAAATTCTTTCCATATTTTTTGTATTATCCAAATCTTTAAGAAAGAACTACGCACACTATATCTCACCCACGATTGCACAACATTTCCTTGGCAACAGGCTCTTCCTGCATGATACAGGTGGGAGTAATAGCAATTTTGCTCCTTTTCAGTGTGATTTAGCAGACAGACAAGCAGAAACATCACCATAGGCCCAGGGAACACCCACTGAAGTTAACAGTTATCGCAGATTTAAAAGACACCAAATCATGCCCAAGCAATCAGGGCTGTCACAAGCCATCACCCAGAGAACGATGCTTTCCTTGGGCAATCTCCTTCTGCTGAGCTGGCCCTTAGTAACCTACAGG